AGACCGAGCAACAGCGCGTAGCGCTAGCCATCTCAAAGCTCGGTGGTCGAGCGCGAGATTGGGCACTGGCGGGTTGCACTTTGGTCGAAGCTGCGTTTTCCTCCTGGGCGGAGCTGAAGTTGCAGCTCTCACGAGTGTTCTCGCCGCATAATCCGACATATCGCGTACGATCGCGCTTCCTTGCCACCCGACAGGGCAACAAGAAATTCGTGGACTTTGTTCAAGAGATGTGCACTCTCATTGCTGTGACCGCCTTCCCATCCGGAGGCGATCACAGTGACTATCTTTATGGAAGGCCTCCGCACCGACGTGACCAGAATGGAAGTCTTCCGTGTGCATCCGTCTTCGTTTAAAGAGGCAGTGAATGTGGTATGGTGTAAGCGAATTTTTGTTGTTACGGGGTGCGTACTGTTCGATGGTGTGCGCGCATCTTACACGTCCGTACAATTGTACAAATGCGATATTGTCCTCGTATTGGAATCTCATATTACAATGTAGCGATTGTAAATGCGGAGTAATACTGAAGTGTCGGTAATGATGAAATTGATGGGGCTCTGTAAACGATAAGTCGCTAGTACACGTGGGCAGTTGACTTCACGTCAAGCAACAGATATATTTGAATTTTTCTCGCGAAAGTGAAACCAAATTCAGATTCGATTTATTTCTCGATGAATAAAATTATTGACATAGCTGAGCTAACCAGGTAATTTTGAAGGTATTTGATTTTGCTCCTGGGTGAAACTGATAAACTCAACTTCTGCGCACTTATATATCGGACTGCTTCAGTCGAGGGTTCCCTAGTTCAGGGTGCACGGTAACCCCCGTAGTACTTGGGTGCCCTTATAGTCAGTACCACGACCGAGCTGCAAAAGAATTGTAGTCTATATGACGTGAAGTTCAGATTTTTTAACTATCTGCTACCACGACAGGTAGAGACTTTATCCAGGTATCGAGTGGATCACAATACCGATATTCAGCTTAGCTCGAGAATCATGACTATGATTAACTTTGCTTGACGAAACAGCCGTGTAGATATCGAGTAATTAAAAATGCTTAGCCTTTACAGTGCTCGCGTGTGCGCGCTCGTATACGCTATTTGCCAATATAGCCAAGTGTGTATATGGTGCAAACACAATCTTCTCTCTAAGTAACTTCATGAAAAAGTATATTGAGGAAGCAAAATTCGAAAAGATAAACTTATTGGTGTATTGGCTATTGTATTTGTCCCAATCGGACTTTGGTGGGTGTTGATGTTTTCAGGTATTTGCACAAGTACACGACAAGCTGTGTCAACATGGTATAACCTACTCAAAATCCACGTAAAGAGGTGTCAAATATTGCTCGGACGGGAAAATATTGACGATATTTGACCCTCACGCGTGTCTCGATTTCGGCTCCATTAAATTCAGATCACCCATTTGTCGTCTGTGACGATACAACACTTGCGATAGGCTACACGTTACTACTGTCAATGAACATGAACACGATGTCGCGTTTGAGTCTTTTCCGGCAGACTACCCTATTCATGGCAAGGCGCAACTTCCATACTCCCTGGTGAGCTGAACCGCTTGGCGCTCACCAGATTGTGCATTAGACAAACTACACACAGTCGTGCACAGCGATGTTGTCGCTATACCTCTCCCAGAGAACCGCAACATAGTATTTCTTCTATGACGGGTATACTATTCAGGTTAGATTGAAGCCGGGTGAGCAAACGGTGCGCTGTCGCGTCGTTTCGACGATTAATAAACGAAAGTCATAATGGTGATGGTACCAATTTTATAAACAATTTGTATAGCGTACTAGTCCAGACCCTTCATGTTTCGCGCTTCTCAAAGTTCTGGGGGCAAGAAGTTCGAGAACTCAGGTGATGATCGCGATCGCGCACCTGCAGATTTATGCCTTATCCCACGGATTGCTCCATTAAAGCGCAGCACATAGTCGGTAGTGACTCGAATGTTGACAATCTCAGGTCCAAATATTGTACACCTCTTGGTAGGCACCTCGGAGCAGAAGAGACATACGCGTTGTGTATAGATGGCCCAACGTGAAAAAGTGAGCAAGCACATATGGGCACACGAGTAAAGTTTGTTGGCAGTGAGGGTACACCAAGTTGTACAGCAACAAAGTATTTTACCACGATGACTTGACAGTAGATGATAGAATCCGCGCTTAACAGCGAAGTTTTGACAAAGGTTGCTCAGGGCGCCCGGTATCCGATTAAATATGTCAACCGCTGACCTCCTCAAATAAATTGTCAAACGAAAGTGGTGGATCGCATTGTGAAGCAGGTGCTCCGAGAATTTGCGCGAATTTTATTAAAGTGCTAGGGTAATTTATCCCCACAAGTTGATTATTGTGCTAGATTTCGCATTACACGTTCTAAGGCTTACTGATTTTAAGATTCAATCTCTGATAAGCTTTGACACATCCGTGATGCGGCTCTTATTTGAGGGGGTTGTTGCCGACACGGTATGCATTGTTGTAAACAGCACAACAGCACTTCGCCGCAAAAGCAATTTTTATCGCAACAAAAGTAAGCGTCATGCACTCGGTGGGCAACGCTCCGATAGAGAGACAAAAGTGCAAAGGTACATTGCGATACTAGAGACAGGCGAAGACACATCAACGTATTATGGATGAAAAGGCTTATTAAACGCTGCTATATGTTTAAACGATAAAGTCACCTCGTCGTCGAATGGGGCTCGCTTGTATGATACTCAGCCTGAGCATTCACTTGTGTCGAATTTATAATATGCTAAATTGGACCGCTTACGTTTGTTGCTAAAACAGATTGAGCTTCAAATCAATATATTGAGAGGTATTTCAAACACAGTATGTGATCTACGGCGGCCCACCGCTATCATACCATAATATTGTTCATACGGACTCTTCGAATGCAACGTGCTTTAAGGAGTTAATTTAATGCCTATCCTCCAAATGGCTCAGCTATCCGCTGCTCCAGGCAGTGATCAGGTTCGAAGACGCTTGGGAACCTCGAGTTAGTTGGTCCAATTGCGCTGATATAGCGCAATTCAAAAGATGGCCTATCTCAGCTCTCGGCTAGATCCAACGTGTCGAAATGACAGCATAAACACGAGACAAAGCAGCTAGAGCTCCGATTTGCCGGCTGTGCTCGATGAGCTTTGGATTGTCCCTTTTCCAGTGGGTGTATGATAGACCGACGAGTTTTACAGGAATATAAGCAGTATCTTGAGCAGTAGATGGGATACCATCGCACCAAAAAAAATCCTGAAATCCCTCTTCGAAATGTTCTAACTGGCACCGCTGCCGCATCCAGCTTATCGATGAATTTGTCTCTACCTTCTCAGGTATGGTTGCCTAGCGATACTTCACTTGTGGGTGGATCGCGACTATGTTTTCAAGTCTAAGACTCGGTCGATAGCTATATTTGAAGTCCCGAACAAATGTTTCTTCGGTGTCCATGCAAAGCTCAACGAGCGCTGATTAGCTGTTCCGCGGGTAATGTCTAGCTTTACAGGTTGACGCTCTAGTATAAAACCGCCTATATCGAAAGCTACGTCAGTCAAAGAAACTCGAATCCTCCTTGTGGACTGTACATCAAAAACTTCATGCTAACATAATGATTGAGAATAGATAGCTTATTTGTAGCCTGATTCAATGAAGCGGACATTCAACTAACGCGTCGTTCAATTCTTGACTTTTACAGCGATAAATCAGGATGTTGACGTTGCGGTGGACGTTTACAACTTTACGATTTTGCTGAAAGCTGTTCTGCTCAATTCAATGCATCTGCTTGTAAAGCCTCTGGTCAAGTCTCGGGCTTGAAATGAACCGGACTCCAATTACTGCTTTGGAGCGCGTCAAACTGAATGACGTAGTCGCTTCAACAGGGATAGAAATCACAGAAAAGCGCTATATCGTAAGCGGAACCTGTGCTAGGGCGATATTGTCAAACTTTGACACAAAATTATCATATGTTCCCATAGTGCGAGTATTCCTTTTATTTCACCGGATACTCCTTACTCCCTGGTGAGCATACAGGTCTACTATCCACCAACTATTCTAGTAGACCACTTCTTGCCCACGAACAAAGAAGACAGTGGACCACTCTTCCGTGGCTGACTTATGTAATTCCATTTGGGAGCGACGGCAGGTCGACCGATCGCTGACGAGAGTGGCTTATCTTACTCGATCTATTATCTAAAGTAAACTACCTAGCCCATTTAATAGCATTCGAAGCCTGCCTCAGTGAATTAGACGCCATGAAAATGAACGTCTCTAAAGAATCTACTTGTGACGTGAACAGCCCGACGTAGACATTGAAGTAGACGCTTGTCACCTCATGTAAAGTGTTTCCACAGCAGGGCGGACAACTGCCAATTGTTGAGAAATTCTTTAAGTCTTCAAATGTTGCAGCGATCAGTCTGTTTGCAACATGACAAGCTTTGTTGGAAAAACTCGATGCAGCTCCAGCTTACCAGTTTATTTCTGGAACGCATATTGAGTATCGCAGCGGGGCGTCGTAGCACCCTTCGCTGTAGTCGATGTGCTCAGAGATCACAAACCGCGCAAACGAACGACAAGCAAACAGAATGCATTTACATTTAATGTCCACACGGAGGAAACGGCTTTGCTTTATATGTGTTAATGCTGGCAAGGGTGCCAGGTTGGAACTCAGAGAGTCACTACGACTGAATTTGTCGAATAATCTGAACTGCCGCACTTAGTATAATTTGCAAATTCATCTGGAACCCGCGTCTTTCTGAGTGGTTGATTGAGTATATTATCGAGCTAAAAATGCTTACTGTGAAAATGTTAGTTAGTGCAGGTATCGGAGGATGCAAGCTGAACAGAAGAATCGCAACAGCAGTGGGTGCTGTCAGAACGCTCACTTTTTGGCAACAAATTATATTGGCAACAAAATGTGACCCACTGTGGTGGACATGCTAACATTGGGTATATAGCGGATACGAGTCTATTAATACGCCTACTGCGGCGGGGCTGCCGTAGCTCTTTCGCTTAGAGGAAGCTTAATTAAGGTGGATGACCATTGTTCTATCGTTAAAACCAGTACGAGTGTAGCGGATCGCAATCCACTTACTCCAAGAGTAAACCTTAGATCGAGGCTAATTAACTCTTTCGCTTAAAATGCAAACTGTACTTCTCGGTTTTATTTGCGGCAAAGCCGCCTATATCTAAATCTATAGGTTTTTCTATCTACATAGTAAAACCTTATTTAATGTATAATTACACTGTTCCAGCCATGTACTGACTTTTTTCGTCTAAGTGGGGCGACACAATTGTGTGGCCACATCACCTTGTGTATCCTACACAATTGTTTGATTACGCTTATCGTGTGTAACCCCAGGGCATGTGAAACCATCCTACACCCTTACTGCATCGTTGATCGTCAGGCATTTGAGCAAGGCTCAAAAGTACAAAGGTAAATACCATTGCAAGGCGTCTCGGTACGGAAAACGGTAATGAAATTTTATAATAAAGCGGTCCTATGGGATGCATTTTTGCGCTGTGCGATACATATAGATACCCCTAGTGTTATTATTATATATTATATATTTACCCAGTTACATGTAATGTACATAATGTAGGACTTTGACTATGTTCTTGTGACACTATCGATCTTGAGGTACAGACGTACATCGTAGCATATATAGAAAACAAGCAGTATGGTGAAATGATTTGACATATGTCTTGATACGATCAGAAAAAGCAGCCGCTGACAGTGAAGCTAGCATAATGAAACTGGATGTCATCATGTCATATTCAAAACCATACAAAATGATTTGCGGTGACAAAAAAACGTACAAATAGCTGTTTCCAAATTTCGTTCCTATCCACATGGTAAGTATCAGCACTGCATAACATTGTGCAGCCCTCTTGGTTTCTTGATATTATCATGACTTTACACAGATAGCATGCATGTATTGAAGTATTGATCGTCGACTTTATATACATAAGTCTAATTTAGCTATGATACTTTTTCGTATGGCAGTATGGCTGCTTCTAACAGAGATATGGATGGAATTCGTTTCTCGACGCTTTCTAATCGAACAGATGGAATCAGCTATCGCCCTGAACAGAAAACCAGAAAAAAATCAAGCCATCCACGCTCACTTTGCGTTTCCAATCATCTCAGAATCCTTGTTCGACTATAAGTCAAGATGCGCAACCTCTTTTTCTTTCTCATTATTGCCACCTTTGTCGTCTCGAATGGCATTGCCTCGTTAACAGCTACGGACAATAACAAGGCACGATCTCTCGAGGCTGCTGAGATTAAAGTCGAGACTGTGACAGATGCAGTCGATAACAAGAAACCTCTTGTGCAACCGGACAGTGTAAAAGCTAATAGACCACTAAAACAAAGGGTTACTGTCGCATGGACAAAGTCTAAAGATCTTGTCAAGAAATGGTGGCAGTGGGTGGTGAAACACTTCAAGAGGGTTTTCGGACTTGAAGATAGTGTGGGGATGAAGCTAGCAAAGAAGACGGGGGATAAGCTAAAAATCGCGTACGATAAGTCGGGGAAAGCAATTAAAAAGTCAGCTATCAAATGGAGGAAAAGGGTCAAAGGAGCTTTTGGAAAAGCTTCTAATGGCATATCAAGCGCAGCGCAAACGACTTCCAAGGCCACCAAAAATGCGGCGATTGCAACAGTCGATGCCACAAAGAAAGCGGCGCAAACGACAGCCAAGGTGACAAAAAATGCAGCGATAGTGACGGCTGATGCCACCAAAAGTGCTGCGGTTGTGACGGCTGGGGCCACGAAAAAGGCGGCGGCTGTCACGGCTGATGCTACACTGAAAGCAGCGCACGCGACTGCTGATGCCACAAAAAATGCGTACACGTCCATACGAAATGCGGCCCAAGCTTCAAAGGGTGTGGCTCAGCCGTCAACATTCAATGTCGAGGCCGCTGAAAAAAGTATTAAGAACGTCCACTTCCAAATTAGATAAGTTCTGGCTAGAGAGGATAGCGTCAAGCTCACTCAGTTCGTACTGTAGTTCTGCGCTATGCGTTGCTGCCTCAATTAGCTGAGATTGGCACTTAAGTCGTTTAACTTTCACACTCGCTTCCTTTTTAATATTATCATAGCGCAAGGAACGGCATTGGCATATAACACAACCAAGTAGACGATATCTGAATACTTTTAAATCTAGTAGCTTTGATCGTTCTTTTGTGTCACTTCATGTGCTTGATGACTTTATAATTACCCGAAGATCCAATTTGCGCAATTGTGCACAGTGGACATCAGCTTCATCAACAGCAAGCCAACCAGCCATTTTGCGATCTGACCGAGGCTAATGATACAAAATTTAGCTCAAACAATAATGATTCGCATTATGCGTTTGAATGTTACAAGTGAGTTTCGTAACTATCGTCGAGCTATGGTACCATGGTAAAGTGTCATGATAAGCAGGAAGATTCCTATACTTATAAATATTCATACTTACTCAGAGTAACGTGAATTTTATAAAGTGATATGCAATTGCACCAAATGTGTAAGAATTAAGTGCACAAAGGTTTTTTCCACTTTAAGATGTGGACTACATTGATATTCATACTAATTTTGTCACAGCTGGCGCCGAATGCGGCGAGCTAAATATCCGTCGACACGTTTCACACGTGGGCAAAAATGTGTTTGCCCCCTTGCTTCATGTTGTCCCGCCAATGTGTAGCACTGAACGAGCGGAATGTCCACGTCTTCCGAGGAAGCCAACAAAAGGGGCTTGATATGCCTCGTGAAGCCATGCTGAGTGTCATTTTGGTCACCGCTGTGATACAGCAGGTCTTGATATATGGCAAAGCGAGGCAGAAGTGCAACCACAAGTGTGACAAGCGGGATCTGACTTCTCCAACTTCACGCCACTATTAGCTTCCACCAGCGCGACAAATGTTGCGACTGGATCCATACGCTGTACGTAAAGCACGACGTCACTAATGTGACACGCGACAATTTATAATCGTGGAAACAAGAAAGCGCAGACGCTACCTCATAAAGCCAATGCTAAAATTCTTACCTCAAAGGATTTATCGGAAAAAGAAGAAACAAAATAATTTATCTCTGTGAGAAATGTGGTAACGACGTCGCAATACGACGAGATCCACTTTACTGAGCTGCTTTATGAGGAAGCAGAATCCGTGGACAGATATGTCATTGCAGATTGGTCAGCTCCTCTGATCGCAAACAACTTGAGGAAATGGCTTGGCCTGGCCGACTACTCGTAAAAGCTCAGTGCAAATGATGCCGACTGGGCATCGTCCCTCAGCAATCATCTCAAAAGGGACGCCAATTGGTGCTGGGGCACGGTGTAAGATACATCTTCTAAGACGGTAAGAGAATATCAATTCTTGCCCCAGTTCTAGCTCTTTCGAATTCAGATTGGCCAGTTTGTGTAATCTGTGTTGCTATGACCTTTTTATAGTCTGTGGCGACTCCATCCAGATGTCGAGTGGCATAAACGCGTGGTGATCCCAGGTAGTTTATAGCGACAGACCTTGTCGTGACATGGGGTTGCTTGGAATGAATTATGTCACGGTCACGGTTAGGGAGACCTGCTTGGCAGTAAGCCGATTGTGGAAAATACAGATCTTGCGTCATTGAGTGCCTATATGAGCAAGCATTGTACTAAGCAAATGCACTTGAGCTCCGCTCGCAAATGCTTGATTTGGTTTCGCTTCCGATCTCCCACGATCTACAGGATCATGGACGAACATATCAATGTTTTTGTGCATACCTACATAGTTACTTAAATAGCTATGTCACCAGAAGGTTGGAGGTCGCAGAGGCATATGATAGCCGTGGTAACATAAGCAGCTTCTTCCTAGAGCATTTTGCTCGGAATACTTACCGTAGCGAGATAGACATCGCTGCATTTTGCCTCGAGTTTGCATACAGAAAAGCGTCAATGATGTCCAGTCGCCTCGAGTTTGCATACAAGAAAAGCGTCAATGATGTCCTTGGTGAAGACCAAATCTTTGTGATACAACATTTGATTTCTAAAACCTTGTCAGTTTCGAGATACATTCCCTCACCAGAAAGAGATACGCGCGGCAGGTATCTCGTCACCATGACACGATATTCTTTCAACAATGGGTAAGTGGTACATAGTATTTTTAGAATAGTTGCCCACTGCTTGCACCCAATGCTCTGCATATATCCTTGGCGACATTCATCCATTGAGATCTATGACACCAGTTTACCCTCTGGTACCAACCGTATTATTTTGATGACCTCATCGTATTGCGATTACGTACTTGCATATATCCCTGCAGAAGAATTTCTCAGCTCTTTAAAAGCCTCTACAGGAAAAAGTGAGGGAGACTTACAGTCTTTTGAACTGCCAGGACCGCGACGTTGTAACAAAAATATTTCGTTCTTTCGGGCATCAAACCCTAGCCAATTTACTCACGTCTCTCATCCGCCCTTCAAATCCACAGGCTCGGGCATGAGAGATTGCGGCAAAGAATTGCATTTACTATTCACCAGCATTAGCTCGAGAGACAACAGCTCAAGCTCTTTTTAACATTTACACTAGAAGGCATCTTAACAGATATGCGCGCTGGAGACAGCGATCTACACTCGCATTATTTCGCCTCATCCTAAGACCTCAGCACAATTCCGCTTCTAGGCGGTGATGACTTCAATTATAAAATAAGATCGCTGAAAAGGTAAGATCCACACCAAGATATTTCGCCTCCGCTTCACCTCTTTTGCGGAGGCGGTCGGCTTTTTATTCAGCACTGAGCACAAATTTCGTACCGCAAGAAATGGGTGAAATACTAGAAGCATGAGCTGTACGAGCGCGCCAGAGGTGAAGGATCTCAGCCATACTGAAAAAGCAGAGTGAGAAAGATCTTAGCTGCTAAGCAGCTCCACGATACCGGTAGATGTTTCATTGGCAGTAATACAAAGCATTTCCGCCTTGTGAAATGTCTCTACCGTTGACTGAGATGTAAAAAGGGTCGGACCCCGCACAAGGGCGGACAGCGAAGCCCACAAGAAAATTTTCGCTCATAGTTGCGCCTACAAGGGGATAGTTAGACTTTTATGCATCTGACTTTTCATCTTCCAGTCGAATTAAAGGGTAATCAGCATGTATTGCCGCAATTCTTATAGTGGATAAAGAATTGCGGACTGAACAGAGCATTATTTGAGGTACTCGACGCCAGACTGGATATGTCAACTATTGACCATTCGCAAATAGATCGATAGATGGAGCGAATTAATTGCATCTCCGAGATTTTTCTCCAAACCAGTTGTTCGAATAGACCGCGGTACTGTAGCGAGTTGCTTTTAATCATTGAATGAGAGTAAGATAACGTAGTGCTAGCATCCACTAGTTTTACTTAATGGTAAATTATTGCCTGGTTACCCAGTGCTATTTTGACTCCAGTGCTATTTTGTCCTCACCACGAAGTAGCTCTGGAATCCTGAGGGAGGTTATCAACAAAGTTTGAAAGGCAGTAATCAGCCCGGCTGTGCTTAGCAGCAACATGTGCAGAGTGCAGGACGCTATGGCTGAGCGCTAAGACAAGCAGAAGCAGTGACAATGCCAGAGGCAGGCGGAATTCACACAAATAAGTTGTGGGGCTAAAAATTGTGTTCAAATACGATTTACGTACCCACACATGCAGTGTCTACGGTCTATGAGCCCCAGTCACGACCGCGCTACATCAAACCAGCCTCGAGCGCCTGATTACGGGATAGGGTTATACTCCAGACATCTAAAGAGAATGAGCATATATTCTGTGTTATCCGTGAGCTTACTAATTCTGTACCATAATTTGCGTACGAGCTAGTTCGACGTAAGAAATATCGTTGCAGACAAAGCAGTATTTTCATTTTTCTCTCCCTACATTCTTCGCCAAAGCAGCGACGCGGTCTTGAAATATGATTCAAACCAGACCGTGCAATGGTAATGATTAGAGAGCGAAGTGGAGATCTGACTTATCTCGGCCACGAAGACGCGGCGTGGCTACTTAAAAAAAGCTGACAAATGAGATGGTCACGAAATCCAGTCGCGGAAGGCTCGACCTCCGCGGCATTTTTCGCTGAGTAAGGGGTTGCTTATTTTCAAGCGGAAGGTTTCGTAGGCCGGTACGTACACCGGAGCTTTTACTAGTATTTTGTGAAGGAGATACCATCAGACTAGACACTCGTGGGAGTTTGAGGCTTCACTACCCTCAGTCTCTATCGTCGTTGGAGAAGAGTTATGACAGCTTGTCGCGATAAAGTACGCCGTGGACATCAAGGTAAAACTCATCAACTCCAATTCACAACCAGGTGCGAACGATCCTGTGGTGAGTAGGAGTCTGAGTTGGCGGCTGCTCTCAACTGTATAACGCAGACGAGCGGGGCAGTTTAAAAGAACTGGGGCTGATGAGTTCCACCTAACTGGCCACGATGTACTTTATACTTCATCAATGAAACATGCATTGACAAACCAGACAGGCAAGCACTTCGCTGATGCCAGCTTATACAGTTCAAGATAGGGACGACGTGCTTTCCTCATCCAGTGCGCAAAATAAGACTGATACTCATGGGCACTTTTGCCAGCAGAAGTACCCAGGGTATTTATCTTGCTGAAGATTGAAGTCTCCCAATTACTGCTGTTCTAGGTGCAGACGAACCCCCTGTGATGACCTGGGAATTGAGTAAGCGCTCGCGGAACGCTTTTCTTAAGTTTGGTTACTCTAAATTTGAGCATGCATATGCGTGAAAGAGTATTGCACAATTGCGGCGAGCAGCTCTAGGTGTTTTTAAACTGCAACCAAAACCAGAGCCGGCCTGACTCATGTGTTGCTGTAGAGCAGCTAAGATCCATGGGAGGTCCATCTCGTTAGTGACGAGCTGAACTACATTGTGAACTGCACGGCAGGGTGTTGCGACACTTTTTGCCATTATATTAGTTCGCAGGGCCCTAGAATGTGCAGCGAAGTGGCTAAAAATCGCGTAGAAACATTCGGTAAGGATTTGGAAAGTCCATACGACCGCTCTCATCAGAAAGCTCCTCGTCGTCTTCACTGATTCTTCTTTAGAGCGTAGGTAGGGACAACCACATCTCTCCAAGGAATCATTTATCCCTTTGGTTGGGTGCACGGTGGTAACACCGTGTGCAAGTATGCTTAGAAGAGAAGGAACGGTAAAAGGCTTAGCGTTTATCGCCTCCAAACGCAAAGATTGTCTGGACGACGAACAAATTTGCGCAGTGTCTTAACAGACAGAATAAAGTAATTGCAATGCGGTCCACATCATAACGATTTAAAGTGGACAGGAGCCATTACTGCCATCCTGGTTACTATCCTGGTTACTAAAAACCTTTACACATTAAATCAAATGTAGTAGTAAAATACGGCTGAGTCATACCAAATTTACATTGAACATGGTGTCATTGTGAATATTGAGAGAATAAGATTACTCTATGACGATGATGGGACTCCGCAAGATGACACATGGGGTGCTTGTCCGTATTTAAACAGTAAAGACAATTCCATATGAGTGAGAGTAAACCGTAGCTATATAGTATCAGTCCGAATAAAATTATTCTTACATGTATGCCCTGTTGATAGCAGAGCGAACTATTAATCCGAGTTACCTTCGAGGGTCTCGATTGAGATATAAAGATTATTCTAGACACAGTACGCCTAAGCAGCCCGTGTACAACACATACTTTTCTTCCATCATCTTCATAGATACCGAGATCTGAATACCTTTTAAATATTGACAATATCACCAGTATTGTATCTAGCCAAGTGATATGCAATTACTGACCCCGTTTTATCTGCTGTGCAATTTGCACAGTAAAAACTTGACTCAAGGATTTCGCGTATTGAAACTACGAAGGTTAGGCACTCCACCAGGAGAGAGTAGAAAGCCTTTAAGAAATCAAGAACTCAGTTTGTTCTGCTCTTTCAAGAGTGACATATACTTAACTTCATCTGTGCTATCTCTTCGTGCGAGCGTTTTACCTCATAATAAAATTGTTCTAGTCTTTTGCAGCCGCGACACTTATAGCTCCTACAAACTCCCATATTTCATTCGTACCGATATATACTTTCGTATTTTTTAATATTCACAATTGCTCAAATGTGCAATGCAATTTTCTTACGACTGTATTCCCTACACGGCTAAACAGTGCATACTGATGCGGCCATTCCTATGTTCGCTCTGTTTTCTTTCTTGCAGCCAGGAGATACAAAAATACCGTTCATTGAACCAGAATATTCCCGATCTGATCTTGTCCGGCTCTCTACAGAAGGAAAGAGGCAGATGTTCCGTAAGCTATACACCAAGTACGTTGTCGGAATAGTTCTCAGAGAGTTAGATTTCATGCGGTATGGTACGTCATTGATTTGAGAGTCAATGAAACGACGATACTCAGTTGTGACATGGTTAGTGGAAGGAACACGATGGAATGGTAAGACTGCGATATTTGCTCAGTAGATATGAAATTCTAACGTCTAGTCTTGCTGTGTATTTGTAATTTTGCTCAAAATTTGTGTGATATTTTAAGTAGATGAAAGTAAAGTGATAAGCAACACCAGCTCATCGGTATCGTTTACTGTGCTGACGGACATTGCATTTCGAATTGAGGGTATGGTCTATGACAGAAAAGATGTAGCAGTGGAAGCATGCATGGTACCATATGTGATCGTTATAATTCGGATCAGATATATCTGGTCGATGCGATCAGAATTAGATCCCTGTCGAAGCTGAAACATTGGAAGCAAGCCTGGTTAAACAAGGCCACTATTCAATTTGTCTCCTCTTCCACAGCTAGCTACCTACCTACAACCAACGTGTTTCCGGCATGCGTATCTCCCCAATCGTGCTCGCGTTGGCAGCCTTCGTGATTCCAAGTGGTGCAGTCTCATCGTCTATCACGAATAACGATGGTACAAGATCTCTGCGTACAAGTAACCCTGAGCCAGCTGCTATAGCAGACCTGATGCCCGCATTGCAAGGCTCCGACAGTACTAAGAGGCTTCTCATCTCCAACGATGATTTTGATTACGATGGTCATGAAGAGAGGAAATCGAAGAAGAAGCAAAAAAAAAAAGCTAAAAAGATGGCGAAGCGTTTTAAAAAGTCGTTAAAGAAGTTTTGGAACTAGTAGATATTCGTATTGGCATTGATTGATGAGTGTTTAGGCTATAAGTTGAAGCTTGGGTGGTAAGCGTCACTGGTAAAACCATTGTTGTTCTTGGCAGGTATTGCTTCAAGACCCTTGCAGCTTCTTCACTAATAATTAATTAATGTCCGTTTTCTTAATCCTCAGTTTTTGTTTTCATGTTTACTGCTGTATCCATGCGTCATTTGCTTGATTCTGTTACTTGATACAACCTCGGTCGTCGGTCGGTCTGTAGGATAGTAATTGCTATTAATCTTTATGCATCCTGAGACTCAGTTTTGGTACTCTTTGACTCATTGAGATAGTGCTGACGTTGTTGTCATTGGGATCATGTATGTGATGCCAGGCGCTATTTCCTTTCAAATGTCAGATCCTACCATTTCATCTCGTATTGCTTGCACATAATTCATACAATTAGAATTACTACAACTTGAATCTGCGTCAATTTCCCAAGCTTGATCGTGTAAAGGTCTGCGCTGGTGTGCTGGCACGATTAGTATAGTTTCACAAGGTTACTTGTTGGACCTATACTTAATCTCACAGTGTTTGTCTGACAACACTCACGGTTAACCGCTATCCGTTATTACGTATGGAGAAGTATAGACAATAAATTTAGTCTTGCATACTGCTATAGATCAAGAATGGCTTTTGAAGTATAGTATATGGTGTAGAATGAAAATGTTCCGACCAGTACCACTAATTATCAATTCTTCTCTCGCCCTGGTCAATTTAGGTTCTTAAAAGACTTCTTGATGATCCTTGCGCTTTTCTTAAAAGGCTTCTTGACAATCTTCGCGCCCTTTATAGCAAACTTCTTGATAATCTTCGAGACCTTTTTAAAAGGTTCGATGATAATCTTCGAGCCCTTCTTTAAAGGCTTTTCGATAATCTTCGCGCTTTTCTTAAAAGGTTTCTTCACGTTTTCCCACCCCTTTTTGATGCGATAACTAAGCTTCTTTTGCTTATTCTTGACCAGAGAGCTTCTTTCTTCCTCATGATCACTGATGACCGCTTTGTCGTTCATCCTGAGAAGCCTCTTACTATTGTCTGAGCTTTGCAATACGTGTAGCATATTTGCCACAGCAGCTGTCCCAAAGTTACTTGTCTGCAGCGATTTTTTGTCATCGTAATCCTTGGTCGTCGATGTGTCTGCACAAATTGGGATCACGATGGCAGCAAACACGAGCAAGACTAGGGAGAAATGCATGTCAAGAACTTATTGGGTGTAGATAATCAACTTTAGAACTGAAGGTTTTGAATTTGTGTAGTCAGCCTTGATTTTCTGTGTCTCGTTAGTAGAAAACATATGATAGGACCAGAGTTTGCCACCATTCATCCCAATCAACACTTTTAAGATATTGTAAAATATCTTGATAGTAATTCCACATCTACCTAACCCGATAGCTACAGGCTACGTATATCACGAAATGATGAAGCATCCTCTTAAAGCCAGACATCTTAAATTCTGTACACAACAACGTTATTATGAGCGTATTATGTTAGAGTCTCACAATGCACGAACAACGTAAGGTTGGAGGCGGAAATCGGATTTAAACACCAGCGTAATCTCGTGGAGTACGCTATTTTGTCGACTTTCAAAAGCATCTTGCGATTTTATGTAGCCATCTTTATCAAGCGACCCTGGAAGAATCACTGCTGCCATTCATGTTCACCGCAGTGAAATATGTAGACTTGTTGTTTAGAGTACATTGCCTACCACCTGTAGAACACCTTTGGTTAGTAGCTGTGCCAATAATAAATAGTTTATTCGTGCCGATTTCATTGTAGCAGAGCGCAACATGTAATGCAGGCTTTACCAAGTAATTTCGCCTCTGCTCATTCAGCCAAGAAGGGCACAGTCTCGTCAAAATTGTAGATTATTGTCTAGATTGTAGTGGTGGATCGCGTGAAGCTTGTAACGCGCCAAATGAGCGCGTACTAAGCAAAATATCGTCGTATATACGTGTAGTGTCTTCGTGCTGATATAAGTATTTAATTAATTTTATAAGTGTGATCTCGCGCGACGGTGACCAAGGAATTCGCACTGCAGATATGTACCGGTTGCTTGCTCTGAATGAGTATATTAACACTTGTTCCAAATGCCAAACGTGCCTACTTCATCATCTCAGCATCCTTCATATAAGCATATCTGGACAATGTCAACGTAACGATATGTATAGGCTTTACTACAAGTACATACGTGATAGATCTTCTGAGTCGCGTCAAAGTTAGAGCTAGATAAATGTGCTATCGGTTTTGAAAATTAAAACCGTTGAGTCAGACGGAACGCCAGATAAAAGTGATATAAAGTCAAAGTTAGAGCTGAATCCATGTCTTTCAGGTTCTCATAAATCAATTTTGAGTAAAGTGGAGAAGTAGCTCAAAATACTCTTCTTATATCTAGCTCAGGAGCTGTTGCGTCCGGCAGAGCATGCATTCATGACGTAACGAGAGATTTGACCGGGTAAGGAGCCTAGTATTGCTCGATTCTTATAGACTCGTTTGTTTCGGGTGCAGTAACTAGATGGGGCAGATTTAGAGAGAAGCTCCCTAGTTTTTTGCTTTTGTATGAAGAAGCTTATATCATTATAATGGAATCTGCTTCGTATGAAGTTTCTAATTTGAGCCACGTGAATATGTACTGAATAATGGCGTTTGCGGATCACGCTAATGTTGCGGCAGAATCACCTCTGCAGGATTTACGAGACTAAACCTAAATCTATACCTTCGTCAATGCTTTGTGTAAGATGACAACGATAATGTTGCGATTGACATGACCAAACGACGATGGTGGTTCTATAAGTCCGCGGGAAAAGCATGACATTTGTGTAATGTGTATTATGTACACAATGTTATGGTTCATGACTCTTTTCAAGTTTCAGCTTATAGATGTACGATAGCATATCAAATGTTTCCGTCTTTATCCCTGGAGATAAAAACGTAACAGAGGTTCCATTTCGTGCATGACGTGAAATACTAGACTTTGTATGGCATCTTAAATCTAGCCCATTATGGGAAGCTTAACATTACACAAGGTCGGACTATATACGAATCTGATTGCTCCGCTCCACGACTGTCACTAGAAACCTCAACAAGCATCAAGCCATCTGCTACGATGCTTGACTTTTTGCATAGCTACCTAAAGCTGCCCTGCCAGTAGCAAAACATTTGGCTATAAACAGTATAAACCCCACGGGTTAGCAAAACTGACCGTGAAAAAGCATAGTGAGCAGATATACCTCAAGCATCCGCGAGATCCATAGTATTCTTAAGGATCACATACTCGCAGTGTGATTGAGGTGTTGAGAGCATACTAGAAATATGTTCCGTTGATACACAATTTTTTTTTGAAAAAGTGTAGTTTCTTACAGTCTTGAAAAATCCTGGCTTCGAGTCTCGTAGGCATCTGCAAGACTACAGGTATTTCATTGCATCAATTTTTCAAACGGTTGAAAGAGCTCGTCTCATACAACAAAGTCGGTAACAGTAGATCGTCTTGATGCTACAAGGTTCATACAAGTGCTTAGCACCACTACACGTCATTCCATGATGTCAGACAGGGACACTGCAAATGCGATTTGTTCAGCGCTGTGCTGCTAGCTAGGCTCAACCACTTATGCCCTTCATTCAAAGATCGAGGTGCTCAGTAACAATTACGCCTTAATCTGTTTTGATAGCAAGGAGTTGATTACTTCTCCGTTATTCTTCTCGCATGCTCTCACGACTTCTAAATATGACGCAGGTGACCCGAAGACACATCACACTCGATTGTTTGCCATAATTCTGGCGATGGCAATTAAGTTTGCGTGAATGCACGTTAGGGACTCATCCTTTAAGAAGCAGGTTCTTTCTTAGGTCTTATAGGAGCACCAGGGGTCAAAAGCGAGTGATGCATGTCAGAGATAAGTCACTCCAAGAGCTTAAAGCCATATTTTAAAAATTAATTCATGCTAATAAGGCCATAGACCGGAGAAATATAAACTTATAGTTTCAAATTGAACCGTGTTTGGCAAGATCCGACACTATTTAGCATGACGCTTGCTGAGAAGGTTGTTGCGCGTAACTCTTGATGGTTGTCCTTATCGAACAAAACAATAACTGCCTATAGAACAGAAAGTAGAGTTTTACTCATGTTGGTCTGACTCAAATCAAGATATTTCTAGATCACCCGTTTTGAACATGGCTCTTGCAAGCGGCACAGACACCTAATCCTAAATTGGATGCCTTCGGTAAGTTTACTTTGTCCAAATTATCCGGTAAAGGCAAGTAATCCGGGTAAACCTTCGAAACGTTTGCTCAGCGTGGTAGACTTCGCCAAAATATGGTACGATTGAAATCATGTTTTACCTTCATGACGACTACGTTATCCAACGACAGCTGTACGGGCAAATTTAAAGCGCTTCGATGAAATTCATAATGAATCATAACCATTCTATATTAATTAGGTTTTGCTATATTAATTTGGCAAACCTAGAGTTTTAGATATTGGCGGCTCTGCCGCAACTAAAACAATTAATCATAGTTTCAATTTTGAACAGAAATGTTCAATTATCTTGGTTAAGGTTTTTAGTACTTGGAGGTATCGGATTGCGATCCGCTATACTCGTACTGGTTCTTGTAAGAACGTAAGGTGACCTTAGCTTAGCTTCCTCTAAGCAAAGAGCTACAGCAGCCCCGCTGCAGTAGGGGTGAAGGTGGTGTCGTGGCGAAAAAAGGTAGAGCCTGCGGGGCTTGGGCTGACAACCTATTGCTTGTATATAGTTGAACAGTAGATGACAAAATGCAAAGTAATTTTGTTTAGGTCTTCACTTATATAATTGTTTGCTACTATAATCCTACATATGTTTGTTAAATCTTCTCCAAAGCTCACTTTGTGAAAGATACCTCCTATCCTAGCGTGCCACGTTGCCGTCCCATCCGACTCTGAAATTTGTAATCACTATCCTGGATATATTGTAATTAGAGGTCTATTCTCTTGATTTGCAAACACAATTCACCTGTATACCAACTGGCTACCATCAAATGATCGAGAAGCTTTCTTGGTAGCAACTTTAACAAGAATTTTTGGCCGTTATTTTTACGCGCACTTATAGACTAAGGTGGAGCTCATAAGTCTTCCTGCCTTGTGTGTTTCGGCACCGCTGGCGGTGCCAGCTACGCCTGGAAAGTATAAATGTTGCTGGATTCGATATAGAATTTACGAGAACACAACTAGATTCTGATCTTGCTGAGGCGCCATGCAAACCACGAAAATCTGATGCTGATAGTGTGTATTTATTCTCTTGAAGATACAGACAATTTCATGTGATCTTTGCAGCCCATAAAGACTACCAGAAATTGGTCTAAATGAAATTGCGGCTCATGCACAATTAGCAATGGGCTAACTTTTGTACTCGTGGCGTCATTAAAAAATGTATGCAGAGTATCAATTCACTCTGGAGTTTTGCTTTCAATAAATGAACTGGAATTAAAAAGAGTGGAGTCTCAACTCAGATTGTAATAAGAGCAAATAGGAAGTCAAATATCTCAGCGCGTCAATGGGCTGCGTACACCGAGAACAAGGACATTAAGCGCTATGGCTGGGATAAGATTAATGCAGCGGGGCTGCCGTAGCTCTTTACTAAGAGGAAGCTACGTTATGCTCACCTACCTTACATTCTTTCCAAGAACCAGGACTTGTGTAGCGGATCGTAATCTGCTACCACAACGAGGACCGAAAACCATAACCTAGGCAAATACACTCTTCCGTCTAAAATTAAAACTGTATCTAATTTTTTTTACTCGCGGTAGATCCGCCATTATCTAGAACCATAGGTGTTTTGAATCTTTTCTAACCATTAAAAAGTAAAACCTTTTAATATACATGACTACTGGTAGTCCCGCCACGTAGTGGCTTCTTGCTACGATGCAGCCACACCAGTAGTGATTACTTCGACTTGTGTGAACCACACCACTGTACGGTCACACCATCTTGTGTGACCCACCCTTTCACACAAGGGGGACGTGATACCCCGTTACACTCTCCCGCATCAAAATTGTGAATACCCACAATTCACATTTAATTGTCGCCTCGTACGAAGCTGGCGTGTCTGAGCCACCGTTACGTCTCTAGGACCATCTTTACGCATTCTCTGCTCAATGAGATCTGTGTCTATGACACGAAAATACCCAGCCTCGCTGGTTCCGAGAGCGTCCGCAGACAGAGCCCTTCTTTGTCTCCTGCATGTGGTGCAACTCCGGACAATACGTCCACGGCTTCATAGAAAACGCATCCCAAGCCCTAGGCAGCCGGGCGCCGCATACCGCGCCTGCCACGGGTGACGAATTTCCTCGTCAAAGATTCAGAATAAGTCGACTACGAGGCCGATACTCCTTTCTCAGGATGGGAAAAAGAGATGGGCAAGGTGCGCCAACGGCGCAACGTGAGTCCTGCTAAAACCTTGCGTACAATGTGTCAGTTTCCTGACTTTCGACTTTTGGGGGAAGTGGTATCACTATCAATCGCCTCGCCGAGGTACAGTAGCAGCAGATGGAGGCTGCTCACAGGCCGGCTCTTGTGCTCTTGCATCCATAGTCGATCCTAGACCCTCGTGTGGAATGCGGCTTCTGCTCGGCGAATCCCGCTTCTAAAGCAATAGCCGCGATCACTTTATTGTTGGGCGTATTCGCTGTCGGGCCCCAGGCCACTACACTGTTGAGTTTTAAAGACAAAAAGCTCTCCGAGTTACATCAAGAAATCCCAATGGATACGTACCGCGCTTGAATTCGCGCTCAAAGAGGAGGCGATCCTGTACCCGCAATGCAGACAGTTCATGTGGAGCTCGCCCCTGGCAAACCCGCTGCAGATGCTGAGGAGCGTACTGAGTGATAAGTGCAGCGGCATCAAAACCTTTCCTCGCTGTCTTCTTACAGCAGAGCCACGTAAAGGTGGACATGCGCGTAGAACGCCATCTTTGGTTCAAGTTTGCCTAACTCAAGGCGCAACGCTGACTGCCTTCGTATTGTCGCCCTGCGACATATTGATTAATCCATCATGCTCCCGCGAGCTGTGTCTGGTGAATCTCTGACCACAGCAGCTCAAGACCATAACTTGAGTTCAGCTCATGGCCCCTCGGCTTCCTCAACTATTCCTGTGAAGCGCGGGCGGTGCGACGACTCGGAGCGTCATGATCCCTCTGATCATAAGCGTCCACGACGTCCCGAAAGTCTTGCCGAAATGGCACCTCAAACTCCCACGAGTTCTCGGAGTTTATCTATCCCTGCCACTGGGTTTGACCCTGTCGACGACGTCGACCCACAAGGCGTTCCACGTGATAGTGGACGCCACCGTTCTCGTCGAGAAGAGTCGATGACGACTTGGTCGATCGCCGCCCGATGACTCACGACTCTCTTCGAGCTTTTGAGAGCAAGGTCCGTCGCCATCCGAGCTCTGCTAAGCATCATGCCGAGGTTGCATACCGTTGTGCGAAAGACCTCGAGAGCTTGAAGCACTTTGTGCACCGACTGCCTCACGTTGAGGACTATCGCGCTCTGTCGGAGCGGCTCCCAGACGTCGAGCAGACGATTGCGTCACTTCGTGCGACGGTGGAGCGCCTGGTGCCGTTGTATACGGAAATAGTTGCACTCTGGCTCAAAACCAGCTGCTGGTTTAACTTTTGGATGGTTAGCGCCTGTGGGCACCGATCCGGCGCCAACACTTCTACGCTCACTTGCACCGGATCCCGGTACGGCTTATGCAAGCCCACTAAAACACCGGGTGAATGCGCATCCTTTTTGGACTTTAGCGTTTATGCAAGGCCTCCCTTGGCCACGAGTTTAAAAGGT